CCGCCCCTGCGTGCGAGCCGCCTTCCCCGCCCGCGCTTCACAAGTCCCGGGAGGTGTGGAGTGATCCTCCAGCGGGGCCCGGGACACTGGGAGCTGTTAAGTTTATGTTTGTGGCGCCTGAGCTCAAACAGTCATTCAGTGGCTTGCTCTGTTATCAAGAAAACAACAATCAGAAACAATCAGTAAACAGGATCTCTTTCCAGCCCCTTTATTAACTACTTACAGCTCCGCTGAAGGACCCAAAGCGCCCAGCAGCGGGACCTCGTATTGTAAAACAGTTTAAGGATTTGAAGCGTACAGACATGACTGAGCACGTGACTTTCATTGTTAAAACCCTCCCGGTATTACTTTCCCATGAACCCAGTTTTGTTCCGTTTCGTGCTTTCTGGCACTCAAGCTGCGGGAATTTTGCAAAAGTGTGAGCGAGCCCTCCTCGAACTGATAACGTGGAGGAGCTGCTCTGATTCCTTCCCTCCTGTCCACTTTTCAGTGACCTAACGTGAATTTATCTATACATATATATATACATATGTATATAAAGTCAAGTACTTACTGTTGAGATATTTGACAGATCTTAACGCTGGAATTCACACTCCCCGGCTCTTCTGCGTTTCGCTTCTAAATCGGCTTGGAGATGCTGAGGGCTAATTAACCTGGTGCAAATACTGAAATGAGAAGAATTTGAATATTGGTCTCTGTGTGTACAAACAAAATTCACAGAGAAATTATAGCAGTCCTTAGCAGACCTTATTCGTTATTATTAAGAGAGGCTGCAGCAAGAAGAAAACCAGGGCACGCGGTTTTGTTAATTATCACCCTCCCCTGTATCCAAAAGAACGAACAGCATAAGGACATACATAGAAATAGCATAAGGAAAAGCATTTCGTAAAGGATCTTTTCTCTCGTTTGCACTAATCCTGCTGCCCTAGCTCAGAAGAGGTGTTTTCCTGAAGGCACTAGGAATGGCTGCTCAAAAATTTGTCTCTATCTGTTCCACAGCAGATAACTGTCAAAGTTTTGAGGGAGCGAAGAAGAAACACATATATGTCACAAATACATGAAATGAAAAAGGGAAACCAAAGCCAAAAAAAATCCCCCAAAAGAAATAAAATAAGATGAGGCTTCGTGGGGAAAAAAAAGGG